TTACCGTTTTCGTAAAAAAGCCTTTTGTTGACCAAATTTAGCATAGCATTTATTTCACCCGATTATGAGGACTTCACTTCATTTCTTCCAATAAGTATAGTCAATTTAGTTGATTGAAAATAAGTATTTACAGGATTATTTACCTGTGAAAGCAACGTCATAAGTAAGGTAATCTTAACACGAGTATAGCGTAGTGATGTGTCAAAACCGATCTAAAATTTTGAAATCACTAACACTTTTGAAAAGTTTCGGTTTTGAGATTCGATCGGTGAGTTTCGGAATTCGAAACTTAATCTAGACAAGTAAAAGATTTGCGTTTAGTTGTTGAGATACGAGATCTTATTTATAAATTATGATTTTGGCTTGGAAATTAGAAATTTCTGTTTTCGGCATCGCTAGTGCGGACTGCAGAGTATGCAGTTGTTGACTCTTACTACGTACTTTGGCGTCATTGTCCGCTCTTCGCCTCGCCCTTGTATACACTAGTAATAGCATTGACTATATAACACTTGTCTTACGTCAGTCAACCAACATAACCACTAATACTGTGTACTTGGCCAAATGCTTTACTTATGATGTATGTGTATATGACAACTATCCAATGATTCCCTACCACAACACGTCAACCAATCCCTACAGAGCCGGTTGAACATGATTTATGTCAAATTGATTTGTTTAAATGATACCTACATTATTTTAGATTTTATTTTTAGAAAATTTTCTATTTAGGGAGGAAGCTTTTACAGTATGTCTCATGGTAAGACCTGGACCCGGAACCGATTTACTTTTTCGTTTTGATGTCCTAGGAGGTCAAAAACACCATCCGTTCAGATTTAATGTTTGTCCGTTAGCACGATAACTCGAGCGAAAATCATCCGATTTCGATAAAATTTTGTACAAACAGGTAAATTTATTCGAAAGAGTTCGCGAACCAGCATGATTGGGCCATGGGAAAGGGGTTTTACAGGGAATTTTATGGGATAAAAAGAGGTTTTTTTCATATTTAACCTACAAAACATAGAATGCCCTAATTTTTCTAGCATAAACCATTTTTAGAGCAATTTTTTGCTCTTGCGAAACAATTATTTTAGTTTCTTTAAGTTTTTTTGTTTGGTTATGGGCTACGGAGAAAATTCTAAATATTGTAAATTTAAAATTCCTATTTTATTCTTATGGTGAATAAGCAAATTATTGCAGATATTTGTTTATGGACATATTTTGATCAAACTTGGCAAATTTTCTATTTAATACCAAGCTATTTATATTTTACTAAAACACACTTTATTACCCTCCCTGTAGCAGCAGCCCTAGGTACTCGTTAAATTTAATGTTATTTAAATAGATTTGTGAAAATCAAGTCAGGCATATGGAAATTCGCTTAACTGCAGGTTTGCTGCGGTGGGGGTATTTAGTAATTTACTTTCATTTAATTCTTTTTTTCCTTTGACAACCGAAAAATTAGCAACGCCAAAAAACTTAAACCTACTCATTATCTTTCTAAGAACGATTTTCGAATGTAAAATTATTTATTCATTCTGTTGCTATATCTAATAAACTCAGTGTTCATTTATGGGCAACAGATATTTACTTACTACGGTTTGTAAACTTAAAAATGGTCTAACTTTCAAATTAAAACAACAAAATTTAATATTTGACAAAATTTAAATTTTTAAGGTCTCAGTTTGTAGATTTAGGTCACGATAATATCACAGTGTTTGTAATTTTCATTTCGTTGAGACCTGCAACTCCATGCGGTACTTTGCACTACAGTTCTGTACAGCAGGGGCGAATCACGAAGATGCAGGCAGCGTGAACAAGTATAAACGTGCTGTTTTAATAAATTGTTGTGTCTAAAACTAATAAATGAATTTTTATACCCTTCTAATAAGCTTTATAACCCTTTATTTTATCATTATTTATCATATGCAACAATGTTATAATTTTATCGATTTAATGTTGACATTTCCTCAGTCAACAACATCATAAGGTTAACCTGAAAATTGTTTTTACCTACGGCCGTTTTTTAAAGTAGCCATTTCAGTCCAGTTCTTAGAATTGAAAAGTTTCACTTTACAGCTGTTTACTTTCATATCCGCATAGTTTCATTTCATATCCGCATAGTTTTCTCATATCCACACAGGTAACGGACCAATGAGGTTCAAGTATTGAGAGAAAAGAATTAAAATTGTAATGCTTCGAACGTCAACTAATCAGCTGATCAGCTGATCAGTTGACCAATTTAATTGTTGATCCGACTTGTTCATGTTGATACTCGCGTATTCTTAATTAAGTTGGTGGAAGTCCAAAAATAAATGAAATATTTGCCGAATTGTACCTGATACAATATTATTTATGGTAAGAATGCTGCTAGCAATGTAATATTTAACGAAGTTTAACAAACACGTAATTACAGGAAATCAGCTGGAAGTCGTTGCATCACTTTCAGTGGCAATGACAATACACGAAAACATAACCTCTCTAAAAAGTTATCATTAGTGATTGTTAGTAATTAAATACAGATTGATAGTAATTAAAAAACGGTCGTAGGTAAAGTAGTGTACGCAACTCGCGTTAATAGTCTTTACGACACTCGTAGAAGTTTTTAAGGCACTCGCCAAGGCTCGTGCCTTAAATTTTCTACTCGTGTCGTAAAGACTCACTTAACGCAATCGTTGCGTAAACTACTATTTCGATTTAGACCTTTAGTTTATATTAATATTAATAATTAGGCATATAGTTATATTTATAGATGTAAACAAATTTATTAAATGATTGTTTGTTTTCTGTGTGCATAAAAATGCCTCTCCTTATAAAATCATGTCCAATTTAAATGTTACAAAGAAATATTTCTTTTAATTGTAAAAATGGCTCAAATTTTCCATGGATAATATTTTTACATATTTATTGTATGCCTAATAAAGTTTCAAAACATTCAAACACATGTTTGAAGTGTAATGACAAATATACAGCATGGTTTGCACAATGCATGTTTACCTTATTTGTACTATTGTATTAATCAAAAAGGTAATAGTTTCGTTATACAATAGTGAAAACAGGAGTTTACTGGACAAGCTATCACTATTCCTTAGAGCAGTAGCCAATAGCCAATGCTCATAGGCAAAAAGGAACAGCTGGAGAACATCAGCTGTTTATCCTTTTTCTTTTTTATACGTCACCTGATTTTTCCGAAAAAAGATATTCCCTATCACGAATACTAGAAAAATACCGGTATGGATCATAAACATAAACAAATGACGTTGTTGGCCCGAATCCTGTACTAATAGCATTGAATATGATATGTTTTGGCAGTTCCATATAAGCAATCATAAATAATGTTTATTTTCGGGCCAAAAACGTCATTTGTTTATGTTTCTGATCCTTAACCGGTATTTTTCTTGTTTTCGCGTTCCCTATTAATAATAACAGCACGTATCGTTATTAATTTTGTGTATAATTATTATAGTGTTAGATTGTACACTTCACTTTAAATTCCATTAGACTTCTGTCTCTTTTTCATTGACATTAGGTCGAATTCGAGTGTAAAAAATAACGGAATTTGAATTAATTGTTTTCCTTTGATACCCATAGTAACAGCTGGTCGTATTTAAACGTAAATTGGATGGAAACCGTTCACTTGTCTAATTTATAAAGGTTAAAAATGTACGCAATTTTTATTTTGTCAGTTAATTAACTTGAAGGATTGAACAGCAGTACGTAAGTACGTAAGTACGAAGTAAGTAGTACGTAAACTACAGTTCATAACAAAGGCCAAAATGTCACGTCACTTAAGCTATAATATACTATCATTCGGTCAGTACACTCCAGGCTAGTCTACTACCACTTTAGGACCAAGTGAGTCACTTTAGGCACTAGGGAGCAATGTCTAAAAATCGTTTCTCCATTGCACGTTAATTCATTGATTTCCCGCAGAAGCAAGTAACCTAAAAAGGACGAAACGAGTTCAAAGATATTCGGCGAACATGGAAACAAATAATATTCTTTCTTTGGGGATTTTGATTCAATAATTTATCACACGCGCTCTAAATGGTACTGCTTGAACATTATCAGACTCATGCTACCTTTGGTTGCATCAATTTTCACATAAATATATGTAAATCAATGTGTCTAATGACTGGTGATTGTAATTTTAAGACATTCTTTGAGCTTAATTAGTTATTCAGGAAATGTCCTACTTAACTATCAAAAAGTGAAATGCCCTAATATAAAGATGAGAAAATGGTAAGTTCTGGACAACGTGCAATCTTATTTCAGACTTGGTTACTTAGTACGTTATTTGAGCAAACATTCTACATTTGGTTTTTGCAATAAATGTGCATGATCTATTTTTTCCCATTTCAAGATGTAACTTAATAGCCAAGTAGGACTTATTTATTTTTCGTCAACTTAAAAAATACTTTTGCATGGGGATCCTGGGTGTGGTTTCGAATTAAATATAACGAGAGGTCGTCCAGTGGTCGAAACTCGACCAAAAATATGTAATGTACTTCTCTATTTTCACCCCACACTCTAAATAAAACATGTGATTGGAGTTTCTTCCATTTGTTTTGATTTTCTGTTTATATTTCGTTGTTATTTCGTCACCAGCATGGCAACGCATAAGATCCATGTTAATTTTTTCAAATTTTTGAACTCATTTTTTGTGTTTATCTTTGAGCCTATTTAAATTTACAAAGGGATTCTGCACACCTACAGGAAAATTGCTTTCTAACGGTATGCGCAGATTTACCCCACGATGCACACATGCTGAGAAAAAAGGTTTTAAAGAAACGTGCTTGCCTATTAATATATAGATAGAAGATAGATATATTTAATGAGTGCAATATGGACACATGACATATGGTATTCTACCATATTGTTTTTTTATAAATTGTAAATGATTGTTTAATACTTTGTAAGTCCTTAGAAGACACCACTAGAGTTAAATATTGTTATCCAATAACGATAGATGTAAAATATGTTTGAATGATAACGCATTTAAGTTTAAGTTTTTCATAAATGTCTTTATTAACATAAAAATAATTTTTTGGTAGATAAGAGATTCAACTTTGTACAGTGTTTTACCTAAACAGTATAAACTAATCTATTTTCTAAATAAATACAAACCATAAAACGATTTTCTTACAATATTATAGCTACATTATTCAACTACTGATTTTGTTACATATACATGAGAAGAAAAATATCAGAGCGTGTACTTAATAACAATTAAACATTCTTTGACAGTAACGTTCTAAAAATTTGATCTTTAAGCTAACTAAACTATACACATGTAAAAAATCTTATAAACATAACTAACTCTTAAGAAAAACGCACTAATGTTAAGGAAGTCCTAATCTTAAATTCATATTATTACCACGTCACTATTATTGCAGTCCTAACTTATTAAGATCAAATTGTGTAATGCCATGTTATATTGTATGGTTATTAAGAATTAAAAACGTTTTGAGATAAAATAATTTTTATATAAAAATCAAACAAACTCTTTAATTTGTTTCCTTATTTGCTTTAACCATGACACAATAATTTCACCCTGTATCAGCCACAAGTTTTTATAAAACATTGTAATAATATTTTATTTTCAGTAGAGTTTTCAGTAGAGTAAATGCTGCTATAAGCTAAACATTGGTTGATTTGTTAAGTTTATTCGTTCAACCTCTTAAAAACACTTACACCTATATAAGTTTAGCTAGAAATTATTACAGACACTGACGGTAAAGTTCGAGTTTTGCAGATATTTCTGAGGCAGCAGGAAATAAATCAAGTATTTTATCTACCGGTCGCATTATCAGTCAGTCGGTGGTTTTGCGCCGGAAACCAAGTTTGCAGATATCACTTGGTTTGCGTTCCAGCATGATTAAACATGTATACAGAATCGTCTTATCAAATATTATTGTGTTTTTGAATACTTAAACTGATCTAGACCTAGTCTATGGTTTTAACTTCTATAAATACCATTCTACCAAAATATCAATACCATTCTAATTTGTAAATTGTTGTAACCCATACTGCTTGGTTCTAATATTGACATTGATTGATAATCAAAACCATGTAAATGGCTAAGCAATTAATTCATCACGAACTGTCAGTATGTTAATATCTAGCGATGAATGCATTTTAGTTCTAATCGTTATGTTTTTGCATGTTCTATTAATTGTATCCGGTTATTTACAAACATTAAGCGTCTCTAAAGAGGATTTTTTATAAATCAAAACAAAAAGTGGATAGCACTTTACTTACCTACTAAAACACCAACTATATTGTATTTGCGTAAATGCTTTGGTTATTACAGACATATCGCTTGAGTCCGAGGCGAACTATCACAGTGAGATCGTGTTACCCTGGTAAAGGAGTTTGTAAGTCTTATCAGGAACAATATTCATCACAATCGTCGTCGATGAAGGGCAGGGACGAGTGTCACGTGATGAGAACCTCCCCGGTGGGGGCGCTGGGGGCGGTACTGGGGGTGGCGCTGGGGGCGGCACTGGGGGTGGCTAGGTCCGTGGTGGGGAGGTGTCGAGGATCGTCAACAGTGTCACTACCCTGCTGATAACACGGACGAGGCCGCTTATCACTAGTTTGGCTCAGGTCGAGACTCTTGCCACAACTAGGCGTCCTCTGCACTCTAGAGTTCTCCTGGGCGAGGGTTTTGCAAGCGCGTTTTCTTCTCTTAGACATGAACCAGAGTCGCGAGAAGCACGCGCGGAAGTTCTCCGACAGCAGCCCGTACAGGATCGGATTGACTACGGTGTTGAGATAAGCGATCATGAGCGCCCAGACGAAGTGGTGGGACCTCAGGAAGAAGTCTGTGTCCTCGGTGGGGCGTCGGCCGTCCACGTAGATGAGGAACATGACTACAGTGATCGGCAGCCACATGATGACCACGACCAGCACGTTCAGCAACAACACCCGCACCACACGGATGTGCTTGCTGAGACGAAGCTCCTCGTGGTGTGAGAGGGAGGGGAGGCGAGACACTGGGTACACTATGTGTTGCAGCGATATCTTCCTGCGAACAGAACAACAACTGGGGTTAGTTATATATCAAGTTAATCAGAGTCTACGGTATGAATGTCGGGAACTGTTGTGATTACCGGTGGTTACCACACAGGGAAATTATACCATTTTCATCCAGAATAGGGGAGTACAACGCTTTAACACATAGGCAGCAACACTCAATTTGTTAACTTTGCCGGCTAATTTTCACCATCAGCTAATTTTATGTATGTGTAAGGATAACTTGGAAACTTTATTGGCCTGTTGGATGAAGATATGATTGAATTATTCATAAATACTTCTTATAACCATCTAGGACCTGTAAGGAAGCCGTGTTTTGATTTTCATTTCAATTTAATCTGTTGGGTGTGAAAGGTCGTGTACATATAAAACATCTTCGCTTTCATTTATAGTAATACAATTGTAAATCAATGATGATATTGGTTTTGACTAGCATATTGTTATTAAGACAGACTACATTGATCAATTTATTAAAAGACCTTCGGCATAGAGACAAATTTAGTTTTGACATACAGATTCCTTTATTTTTTATTCTTTATCCTTACCTAGACATATCCACTCTTGAATCGGCCGGCGATAGATTGGAAGTAGTGGCCCACCTATTCCGGGTCTTGAGAAGCTTGTGGAAGATGCGCTGGTAGTGGTACACCAACAGTGACATCGGGAGGATGCAAGCGAAGAATATGACGGGAATGGTGAAACATATAGACAGGTTGATGAAGTCAGATCGGGGAAACACGAGGGTGCAGATGTGCAGAGAGTCGTCGTGGTGGAACCAGAAGGCGACTGGGAGGAAGAGCACGGCGGCGAGTGCCCAGACCCCGGCGGTGAGGAGGGTAGCGAGCCTAGGGGTGAGACGAGAGCGGTAGGGCGGCACGACGATACAGCGGTGGCGGTCCATGGAGATGAGGGTAAGCGTCCACAGCAGCACGAACCCGCACACGAACTGAAACATTACAGACATGTTGTAGGGAGCGTTTATGTCTAATCACCAGTCACCACCCAGGTGGTTTGGGAGGGCTGGAACTGCACTCACGGTCAGTCCCTGGTCCTAATCCAACTACGGAACTGCACTCACGGTCACTTTGAGCCTTTCTGGGGGTACCGGAACTGCACTCACGGTCAGTTTTTAGTTAGCCTATATCACATTGTGCAACACCACGATTGAATTGATTAAAACTTATTAAATTAGTTTAAATATATTGAAAAGTTTTGATTAAATTAATCTAAACGTCAAAAAATAAACTTACTACTGACTTTGTAAAAAATACACACGTGTACAGAAAATTCTAGCATAGTATTTCCGATAACATGATAGGCTATATTCTTATTATAACAAAGTTTCTTTTGTAAAGGTTGGTTAGGTTAGGTTAGGTTAGGTTAGGTTTAGGTTAGGTTATGTTATGTTAGTTATTGTTGTATTTATTGGGACAGACACTAAAACGTGTATTAAATAAAGTATCGGATAAAGTAAGACAGAGGACGGAATAAACAGATGACTAAGGGGCTAGCGAAGCGTTCAGCCGTGAAAGACCGATTTTTGACCGTGAGTGCAGTTCCATATGGCTTAGGCGGGCTACCCTTCCAACCCTTGTAAATTCCTTTGACCGTGAGTGCAGTTCGTTGTCAGCCGGTGGTTTGTACTCGGTATTGTCACATGATTTGATTATTGGAATCTTAGGAATCATTCTTGGATAGGAACAGTCGCCTTGATATCTGACCTGGCATTAGATAGGACGAACCTTACACGAGGTATGTGGACTCGATAATTTTGTACTGGGGTACGAACATGTTTGTGTGATATTTTAATTTTAACGGACGCTTCTCAACAAATATTAAAAGTAAAGCCCCATCAAGTGACGCCTCATTTTAAAGACTATTAGTTGAAAAGGTTATCGGCAAAAACTAAAGGCCCCTGACAAAATAACCAGACAAAATTGTGATACCAACAGAAAAGTGTACTTTTATGACATATACAATTGTGCAGTTTGGTTTTCTTGGTTTAACCCATTTAAAAGTTAATAGGGGGTGTCTATACCTTTGCCAACCCTGTATAATAAATATAACTTTGTTTACAAAAGTATAGGTAGCTTGAACTTCTTAAACATTTTAAAAACATGTATGGTTAGTGGCATGACTTCATAACAAAACTGCGAAGACTAGATCCATTGTGTTTCTATTCAGAGAAATCCTATCCGTATTCCAGGTTGTATAGGAGCAATGGTCGTTTGTAACTCGGAAAACAAACACGCAGAAATACGAGTGTGACGCTGTATTTTTATGAACTATTTCATCTGCTCATGTGATTTCCCGGTACCTTGCCTCTCGCGTTTAAGTCTTAGTGACGTCATCGACGGTGACTCAGCTGTGACGTGTGACGTCTCTCTTACATCTCCTTTCTCTCTCTGACTACATAATCTCTTGCATAGGTTCATGAACTCATTTGCTCTAATAGATTTTGACCTTAAGACTCAAGCCAACAGTTCAAATATTTGAGACAAATATTAGTTCTTCGCACACTAATATCCTTTCATATTAATCTCATCAATACAAAAATTCTATTGTTAACCCAATCACTTCAGAAAATTGGTGATTCGCCTGACAAAATAAGTCCCCCGTTGCAGAAAACTTGCAGACTAAGTGAATTTCCATTTGTCTCATTGGATTTTTGCTGCTACACAGTAGTTAATAAGGTGTATGTTTTTTGTGAAATGTTAATAGCTTAGGATGAAATTAATAAAGTTACCAAAATAGATCAGGTAAACCTGATTTAAATAGGTAATACCTGACAATGCTTGTCTCCTAACAAGCAAACTACAACAGTTTACTGATCCTTAAGAATAACATGGGAATTTTGAATATACAGTTCCATGGAATTCTCTCTATAACCATTAAACGTACGGCACACCAACGCTTCATTATTCTAAACTATTTGTGTTTAAGCTGTACAAAATGGTTTTTGTACGTAGAACCAATTATACGTAGGAGAACCAATTGTTAACCCATAAAACCCTGGTTCACAAACTGGTTTGAGTAAATGTAGGTTTACACGTTTGTGCCACATTTCATCAAAATCGTTGACTTTTACTCGATTTCTCAAGCTAACGGACACACACACAAACGAAACACGCACACTTTTATATATGAATCTGAACGGATGGTGTTTTTGACATCTCAAACATCAAAACTAAAAAGGCTATCGGTCTCGGGTCCAGATATCACCTTGTACCTACGGTAATAGCTTATTTCCTTTATGGGAAAATCTGTAAAATCTCTTTCACTACCCACTAGAAACAAAGTTTCTTATTTAAATTAATTTAAAAAAAAAATAAGAATGTGTCAGAAGACATAAATGTTTATTGGTATAATTTACTGTCTCAGCCCATCTCAACCTTAAGTCAACGTGAATAACTCCAACATTAGCACCCACTCACTCTTAAATTTGTCCAACTTTGCAGTTTTCCACGTTATGGAGTGTGGTAATATCAGTTGTTGTTTTCCAAGTCAGAAGCCTCGCTAGTGGCTATTGAATGATCTCAGATCAGAGGAGTCGTGCTGGCTTTGATCGCAGCGGGAGTTACAGTTGGAGAACGGGTTTTACTTCCGATTATTAGGAAACAGATCGGCTAGGAGAGTGACCTTGCTAACTTCAGCTACGAGTTATAGAAAAATTTGGCTGTGATTTCATGTAAGCTATTAAATAAACACAATAGCCGTAGAATGACCATTTATGCATGGACATGTCTGAAAATACAAATTGTTCTGTGAAGTGTTGTGTAAAAATACGTAAAACACTTTAGGCCCTGTTAGGCTACACTTCGTGATACAGAAACCTCTTGGTTGGTGATATGTTTTCTTGTTTTGATTGTTGTTTTTTTCATTACACTTCTTTCTATTCTTTCGTTCTTCTTTCATTCCTCTTTCTTTCTTTGTTGGATGGGGGCAAGTAAGGAGCGTTAAATACCTAAAAACTCAGTCCAAATATAAAACGTACAGTTGGCTTATTGAACTATCTGCAAATGTGAAACACCAGGCTGTACTAATAACTATTTGTTTTTTACTGGTATCCATGTCTCAAAATGTACAAAGTCACTATTCCAGAGGTCGCGTGTTCCGTCGGAAAAACTTACATTATTAACCAATTTTTGTAAAATGAAAAATATAAAAATAATAGATAATTATAACATACTACTGTTCATATGGCATTCTACAGATTGAAGTAAATATTTGAAACAAAAAATATGTGTTCAAAAAACATGTCTGTCGGCATCGTAAGTGAAGCCTATCGAAGAAAGGTATCGTGTCATAATCTCTTGTAAAAAGGAAGATTTTCTAAGTACTCGTAATTTAAATCAACCACACATACTCTTAATTGTTCCACGTGAACCGCCACGTGTTCGGTATGCGTTTGGCGGACATCCGGTTAGCAACACGTCCTACAGTTAACCATGCAAATCAGTCACTAAGTTGCTGGTAGCCAGTAAGTGCCACTAATGTAGGTCTGGTGTGGTTGCATCCGGCTCGAAGGACCAAGAACGGCGCGATATCAGTATCAGTATCCCCAACAATCAGAGCTCTTCAATTGTGTAACAATGGAGATCCTGTCCAAGCCTCCAACATGCAGCAACGGTCTACGACATGTTGAGCTCATCGGTAATAGTGTGTTAAAGTTTTAGTAAAAACTAAGATTGTTTAGACTATCTTTATATTAATTTGAAACTGTTTTTCTTTGTCACAGTTATTTTGAGAGAACGGCTGGGCGTAGAAACTCGGTAGAGGTGTCTAAAGAAAGGTCTTGGTCTGTAGATGAGTCATCAAAAGAGAAACATGGTGAATTCCCTTGGGGATCTGTCCCCGTGGCCTTTAAATTCCCATCCCATGTTATTCTTATGGAGGAAAACGGGGTTTTTGTCACAGCTAATTTGAGAGAACGGCTGGGCGTAGAAACTTGGTAGGGGTCTCTAAAGAAAGGTCTTGGTCTGTAGAGGAGCCATCAAAAGAGGAAAGAGGTAAATTCCCTTGGAGCTCTGCCCCAGAAGCCTTTAAAGTTGCCTCTTCAGATTTGTTTACATTACGACCATATGCATAATTCTACACTACTTTTTAAGTTGTCTACTTTGTAAGACAACTGTACTTCTACTTTTCTTACTTATGAATTCAGTGTCCAATGCTTTATAAACAACAACCCCTCCATTTCCCAGCGCACAGTCGCGCACCTGTTCGAAGATTTCCTTAGTGACACACTGTCACAACAAACTTGCGTCACTATCTGCGTCAGTGACCTTGAACTTACCGGTCGTGGAATCCCAATAGGCGCTGTTGATTGATGTCTTGAGCAACTACTGTATATGTGACAAACACATACACAACTCATGTAAACACTACGCCATTAAAATTATATGAACACTATTGCAAGATCAAAGAATGTAGCAATATTCAGTTCTATAAAATAAAACAAACTATTCTTGTACCAATAAAAATATATAAGTAGTCAAGAGTCTTTATTGTGACTGATAATTTACTGGTTTGATTGTTTATTATTATTAGTTTTCTAACGTATACTGACATCTTTTTCCTAAAAAAATCTAACAAATGGAATTAGAAAATAAAAAAGTATTCTGTGCATTAAATTTGTTTCTCAGGTATTTAATCAAATATTGACGGTTTAATGATATATTACTGCCAATCTACGAAATATGCAAAGCATGGATTATGTCTGTTAGTCAATGATGCTATCTACTAAAAACAAGTTAATTAAATATTTGAGGAAACTTCTGATACTTCGTAAAGTAATGAGTTGTTTATAACTAATGTTTCTTCGCTTTAAAACATTACATCACGTAGGTTTCAGAGGTAACCCTAGAAGCTAGACTTGAAAAATTTTGAGTTTATATTATTCAGTAAGAATTAAATGTGCATCATAATGTTACCTTTGCCAATAAATTATGGCAACGTCGTGTCAACAACGTCAAGTTCTGGGGAGGAGAACAATGCATTTACGATTCTGCAAGTACACACTTATCTTTCTCTTCGTGACAAGCCAAGTTAAGTAGCTATGATATTCGTGCCTTATCTGGTATACATTTAGGTGTCCTAGAGACTCACATAGCCTATCTATGAAAAAGCAAAGCCTAGCTAGCACATGTGTGTGACGACGAAGTAAGTTTAAATGGTTATAATTGTTGTTATAATTATGTCTTTTTCGTAGGGCATTTCATCATTTTATATGGGTACAACCAGACCTATATGAAAATTAACTTACAATATTAACTGAATTTGACAAAATAAAGTTCCCATAACGACGTTAATTCTGTCTACCTCTATTTCCCAATAACCTTTTACCCACATCCCAACCCAGTACCATTTTGAATACGAGTAGATTTTCTATTTAGCCATATTTTAGTTTTTTTTCTACGTACTAGTACAATTATATTTAAATTAAATAAAAGGTCTTGGCTGAATATACTACGTCAGTAACGTGCAAGTATTAATTTCAACCTCCTTTTTGTTTATAGAGAGCACTGACCCGGAGTGAAAGTCGCATAAGTTTTATTTATATACATAGGCATTCACCTGATCGAGTGTTGCGTTGCATAGTGTACCTCTACGAACCGATTGTATATTGGAATGCTCCTCGTAAAATAAATTAGAGTAGCTGGAAAACATTGTAACCGAGAAATATCACTAGCGTCACTATTTAAGTACTCCTTACCATATTCGAACCTACATCCGATATGCCAATGAATCATTCTATAATAAAAATAGTAAAATTTACAATTTATCGTAATGTTTAATGGCAAGAAATAGTTTCTTCAACAATAATTCTGTAAATAAAAAACAATAAAACATAGGCCTACAAGTTTAAAAATTATTCTGTTGTCGTTTGATAACACTTATTTGTGTGACAAGGGGCAGTTGCTTTGGGATGAATGTTTTTACCCCAATTAATAGTTCAAATAATCTACAACCGTACTGGACCTACGACACGCTTTTAATGACTCTATATTGAGATAATTGGGTGCATTGGATAGTTAATTAGGCCCTGATTACAGACTCTGATAGTTGTGGCGGGTCTACTGTACAGAATAACAGTATACGCCACTGACCCGATAACTTAAATGATGTCTGAAGGAATACAGTATGTTCGAGGCAAGGGAGTTAACATACCATAAAATGTAAGTGAATTATGTAAAATGAGACGTGACACGGTTTTTTTCGTAGTCTCCAAGTACGAAAATGAGAGATGTTAACCACAGTGCATTTCCTGGACCACTGTAGGTCAAACTTCCATTGTAGTGTATCATTGACAAGTACCGCAACTGGCTTTGTTAGGTTGTGAATCATCAGCTGATTAGTCAGTATTGTCATTGTTGAGTATGCGATGTCGCATACCGTAGTATTGTGTTGTGTCTCCCATCTGTCCATAGGAGCCAGTGGTTGCGTGTGTGTAGGCCTACATACCGATAATGAGCAAGATCTTTAGGGGATTGAGAATAATTATTAAGAAACGTACCACTTAACTCAGAGAATTTTGTCAGTTGTAATAAAGTCATACCTGGTTTCAACTTTCGCTATAATAATAATTACAGTATACATGGATTGTATACATACTTTTCAGCAGTTATTGGTTTATTATACAGATTTACATAGAATTACTTCGTCCCATGTATATTGTAAATTATTAACTTACAAAAACTGTGTAAACAAACTTAACCCCCCCCCCCCCCCACCCTAAAAAAATCAACGCACAGCAGATTATAACGCTTTCAAACATTAATTTGGAAGTTTTTACGTTTAAAGAACAGTAATATGCACTTCTCTAACATCGTTTCAAATAAGTTACATTGGGATCAGTCTGTTGAATCAACAGTCAAAACATTCTAATAGTAAATGTACATTGTTTATCTTTAATCAAAGTTAGCTTTTTTAAACTATTAGAACTGAGCTCAGTTATTAATTGATCAAATAAATTGACTTTTATTCATTACAATAATTTTAGTTGTAACACCACTTAATAATTAAGATTATGAGCAGACCTACACAGCTAATTTTTTTCTACAGTCTATAACATTTAAAAGAAATGTGTGATGAAGTGTGGTAGCCTATAAACTTAACAATTCAATAACTCGTGTCTTTATTCACTTTAGCTTTAATTGTTCTGTATAATAATAACATTTTGGCATAGTGACGATAACTTTTTGTACTTTTTGTGCGTTATTAATTTATCTCTTTCCATAACAGCTCAGAGTATTTCCAAAATATGTTTAAATGTTTAAAAATATCTGGAAATTGTCGTTGGGAAGTACTAACAAGCAAACAACAACAATAATTAACTTCTGAGTCTGAAATTTTCCAAATTTATTTCTTCATTATGGTAAGGACTTTAAAGACAAGGAGTGTCTTGTTACTTGTCCTAACTGCACAAACGTTTCAAAACTCTGTTGAATTATTCTTTAATGAATTATATTAGGTCTATTGAAAAAGATACCATGAAAAATAACTGTAATCATAATAATGAGTGATGTATCAAGAGGTTATTGTCAAAACCAATCCAAATCACAATGTACCTGACTTGATACAAAATCCAACTAACATAAGGAAACATATAAACACTATCCTTTTGTGCAAGGAAGAAGAGCTTCTTTGGTGATGAATGAAACTGTAAAAAGACACTATGTGCACTAAATCGTTTCCTTGCGTGATAAATAAATATTGTAATGCCGACTGATGAGGAAGGAGGAAGAGCCGCACATGGAGGCAGTCAGAGCAGATGATAGCAATCTGGTGGGTAAGTGTGAAGAGAACGACCGACTGTGGCACTGACCTATGCCGGACAATCAGCAGACAGAGGGTTTACGACCGTGTAATGACAGAGGGTTACCTGGGAGTACGGCAGTAGTCTGCACACCAGGTCGCCGAGCCTCCAGTGGGGCGAGACCCTGGCCAGGGCCACGGCGGGGATACCGGCGGCGAACAGACAGTCGGCCACGGACAGGTTGAGGAGGAAGCAGTTGGTGACGGTCCTCATCTCCCGGTAGCGGAGGACGGCGCTGGCGATGCCGAGGTTGGCGACCACGGAGGGTACGAACATCACTGCCAGGGCGAACACCTCGACAGTAGCTACACTGCCTCGGGGACCGAACTCGCTGTAGAAGGTGAAGAAGTAGCGCGTGCCCCAGCCTTGCACGCCGTCCTCTCCTAGAAGATACGAGGAGTTCCACGGCGTCTCCGCCATCACACACCGCCTCGCACTACCACTACTGCACTACTCACTCACTACAGCACTACACACACACTGACTGACTGAGTCACTGAGTAGTGAGTAGTAGGTCCGCCGCGTCACGTCCCCCCCCCCCCTACTCACTCACTAATCACTGATTAAACCCTCCAGAGTAACCCTTCCGATACCCCCATTAGCTGTCAATCCGGACCTACTTCATTGTATTGTTTCACTGGGGCTGTTATAAACACATTATACCTCACCCCTCCTAGCCTACCAGCAGAAACCTCTTGGGCAATGGAAGTGATTGCTTCATGAATAAATCTCGCCGTGCATTACAATCAAATTCTTACACTCATAAAATCCATGTAGAGAAACTAAGGTATTATTTTTCATTGAATAATGCGCCACACCATGAATTAATTACAAGTGTTGGTCACTTTTTTTATGATTGCAGTAAAATTTCGTAGCAAGGCCTTACAGAATGCAAACAGAGATAAACGAATCATAATGTGATACAAAATAGAAATGTTACAGGACAATTTGCGAAACTATCTTAAAACTTGAAATACTTACAACAGCACTGCCTGAATACAGAATAGCAAGCTGTCTGTACAATGAAACAGTTCTGAAGATATATTAGGAACGTGTACATGAACATTGTTGATATGAAAGTAGCCTTATATGATCCAAATTTTGATAATCTTCATTGTTGCGTCTCCGATTACCTTACACAAACATCCATACCAGGTACACAATTGACAGGCTCTACAAAATGCAGATCATTGGACCGCAGTTGCTGTCGTCACTGCCATAACACGAAGAGATGCATTTTCTACCTTAGAAAACTGATCACCTCCCTTATATAATCCTAATAACACTACTTATAGTTTGAAATGTGAAATCAGTTATATCAAAATGGCACACACGTATATAAAGGAAACAGTGTTTGCATGCTAAAGACGATATCTCTATGGATAAAAAAAATGTTGCTTATCTGCATTGCAATTAGCAGTTGATCTCATCCGCTGTAACTATGACACGAGTTCATGTTCAAAGAAATCTAAAAACAAAGACTGATAAAGTTTCTATCAATTCCATTGAACAAGCTTGCTGCTACGTAGTTGACCTTGAAGAAGAGGGAAAAATGGGTCTTTGTTGTGACTTTGCACCATGCAGGAAACTCAAACAATTATTTGTGTAACTAGAGCGTAAAGCGGCACTTTGCTACATTCGGAGTTAACGTACGAGCCGCAGGCGAAAGATGGATGGTTTTGTGGTGCTGCAATGTCACTTTAGAATTAACGATTTAAACGTTTTTTTTCCGCTTTGCTATAAACAGAGTGTTTTTTAACACACCCCAAATAATTAAACAACTGTGAGACACTGTTTAACAACAAAGTAGTAATGGTACATATCCCCGTTTTCTTTATATATTATTATTCCATTGCCGATCAGCTAATGTTCGTTGGTCCATTGATCTGTGGGGTTTACTGTTATTGATTGTCTTAAATGAGATGTAATATAAGATTTTTCGCAAGCTCAAAGTTCAGACTTAATCACAATAAATGTCCAATAACGGCACATAACTATCGGCAACGATATAAATAATACAGGGACACCAAAATATGAATTTTTCCTTCCTAAACAACCTGTTGAGTGCACTATTGAGTGCTTTCATTTTTGTGTTTTTATGAATAGGAACTGTGTGGCAAAAAATCCTTTCCCTAAAATTACATTTTAACTCAATTGCTTTTCTTTTAAGCTTCAGTGTTTACGCTGATAGAATCATCTGAAATTAATTATCTAATTAATTTCTAATTAATATCCATCTAACTAATATCTAATTAATTATCTAAATAGCGTGTTCCCGTGTTTTGTAACCTTCTCACAATCATTTTACTTACACAGTAGTTGGTACCAAACAATCATACCAAAATAATACTGTAATGGAAGTTTGTTGTAAAACTGTATTTTTCTTGTGGTGTAAATAATAAAGTGGAAGGAACCAGAAAATTCACAATCGTGTTTATGATAAATTTAAGAAAGTCTTACATAATGTGGCATGCAAGTGTGAAGGAAGATATTCAATTATTCATTTTCAAATGCAAACCGGCCTTTCGAACTATTAAGTAGCCATGCGCAGCGTTCTGTAAACTAATTATCAAGTACAAATTAGAGGAGAGTTCCAGTTTCCAGTGAGTCATTAGAAGAGGAAGTTGCTATCTCGAACTGACCATTTATTTACCTAGTCTTTAAACCACAGAAACCTAATTATGTATTGCCATTAGTCATGGCAACTCGGGGAGCGAGCTGGCGTTGTGGCTAGAGCGCGGGACTTCAGTCCCTGAGGTCCCGGGTTCGATCCCCGCCAAGTCACCAATGGATTGTATCTAAGTGATAATGCCGCAACCCCTAGGTCTAGCCTGAAGTAATGTGAAAAACAATCCCAGGCTCGTGCCTAGCGTCCTAGGACAAAAAAAGTCATGGCAGCTGAGGGAATGCCGGAAAGGAGTATTCTTACGCTTCAGCGTCCATCACCACTTCAGTCCATCACCACTTCAGTCCATCACCATTCTTGGCATTTTTGTCATCCTAACGTCTCGTTAGGTCTGTGGGGTTTTCCACTATTGCACCAGTAGCACGAGGAAGTTGTGTTTTCAATACTTTCCCTCATTGACACCATCACATCAATTCCATGTGTTGGGAGCGGCCGCCGCCACATGTGTACAACAACGACGGTCTGTACTGAACTGTCGAGGCGTTCCAGAGCAGCAACTGGTCTGCTTATCAGTTTGATAGATTTTCCATATAGTACGACGCAATACATCACGTACTTAGTAGATTAATTTCTAAAGAGGTTCCAGAATATATTGTTAATCTATACTTTAATACTAGTAGTGGTGAACCCAGAAAGATAAGTCACTTTAGGCGTTTTTTCCCATAAGAATAACATGGGGATCATTTTTTGGCCACCAAAACCAAAAATCCTGATCTTTGCTCACATATCCCTATAAAATTGTCAAACCTTATTTCTTACTTATTTCCCATAAATATATTCGATATTAAGCTAAAAAAGCTATTTTTCTTATATTTATTGACCCTTACAAGTGTAAATGTAGAGTAGTGGCGAACTAGCAATATGACATCACTTTAGGCACGTTTTCCCCATAAGAATAACATGGTGAGCTTTTTTTGACCACTTTTTTAAAAATCCAGCTCTTGGCCTATACAAGCCTATATAAATGTTCAATACCATTGTACAACTTCATTACTATTTCAAATCCACATCCATTCTCAAAATCATCAACTTGACAGTGCGAGGTTTGTACGCGAACTCGGGCGCGCTCCCCCATATAAAATGCATGCTACCCATATAAAATAATGTTAAATTTTTTTCTTACTTTTTGATTTTTTTATGTTGTAATATTGTTTATAATCAAAAGTTGACACCCACTACGTTTGCCAGAATTTTAACCGTTTTGCCGTATCTCAAGCCGTTTTCGAGATATAAGCGTTTTTAGATAGTTTTAGACGATTTTTCATGGTAAATTTTATTTGTACCCATATAAAATAATGTTAAATTTTTTTCTTACTTTTTGATTTTTTTATGTTGTAATATTGTTTATAATCAAAAGTTGATACCCACTACGTTTGCCAGAATTTCAACCGTTTTGCCGTATCTCAAGCCGTTTTCGAGATATAAGCGTTTTTAGATAGTTTTAGACGATTTTTCATGTTAAATTTTATTTGTACCCATATAAAATAGTGTTAAATTTTTTTCTTTCTTTTTGATTTTTTTATGTTGTAATATTGTTTATAATCAAAAGTTGACACCCACTACGTTTGCCAGAATTTCAACCGTTTTGCCGTATCTCAAGCCGTTTTCGAGATATAAGCGTTTTTAGATAGTTTTAGACGATTTTTCATGGTAAATTTTATTTGTACCCATATAAAATAATGTTAAATTTTTTTCTTACTTTTTGATTTTTTTATGTTGTAATATTGTTTATAATCAAAAGTTGACACCCACTACGTTTGCCAGAATTTCAACCGTTTTGCCGTATCTCAAGCCGTTTTCGAGATATAAGCGTTTTTAGATAGTTTTAGACGATTTTTCATGTTAAATTTTATTTGTACCCATATGAAATAGTGTTAAATTTTTTTCTTTCTTTTTGATTTTTTTATGTTGTAATATTGTTTATAATCAAAAGTTGACACCCACTACGTTTGCCAGAATTTCAACCGTTTTGCCGTATCTCAAGCCGTTTTCGAGATATAAGCGTTTTTAGATAGTTTTACGGACTTAGACGATTTTTCATAGTAACTTTTATTAGTACCCATATAAAATAATGTTAAAATATTTTTGGAAATTTAGATTTTTTTATGTTGTATTATTGTTTATAATCAAAAGTTGACACCCACTATGTGTGCCAGAATTTCAACGGTTTTGTCGTATCTCAAGCCGTTTTCAAGATACAAGCATTTTAAAACTATATTATGGACTTAAACAATTTTAGGTGTGCAAAAATGTTAAAAACACAATGAATAAGAAAGTACTATCTTCTGATGATAACAAGAGGCTTATTCTGGAAGATGACATTAATACTCTTGCTCTTAGTCATTATAAAATTGATCAAACATAAATCTATATTTGCCATTATTATTTAGCCTTTCCATTTCTATTATGAAAAAACCATATTTAGTTTTATTCCAACTTTAGAGGAAGAGATCACTAAATTGGTTAAATGAAACGTCATTACCAACATGATTGTTATACAAATGTTTTAAAACTTAAATCGTCTTGTCTGGATAATATTAGGAAATTTACACTATCACGTAAATGTTTGTGTACTTTGCTGCAAGATTAACACAAGTAAAAACAGTCAATATTTTTATGTCGACCTTTTGACAAAAATGTTGTAATATTTGGACTATTCATGTCATCAAATACAACAACTGACTGTGACTGTGATGTGAATTTTTGTGTGTACTTGTTTACTTCATCACACAAATTTCACACTATTTTCACAAATGTCACATGAATTGTGAATTTCACTGTGACTGTGACTGTGATGTGAATTTACCTGTATTTCGTCACACACATTTCACACAATTTTTATAAATTTCACACACATTTCACACAATTTTTATAAATTTCACACAAATTTCACACAATTTGACACACATTATAAAAATTTTGTGTCAAATCACACATTATAAAATTTATAATATGTCAAATTTATAATGTGTGATTTGACACAAAATTTTTATA